ATGTGTTGCGCATGTCTCCAAATAGGTTACCACGACGAGCGAGTGGGTGGAAAAAAGCCAAGGGTGGTCAAGCTAAGACCTGGCACGAGGGTATGAAAACCCTAACCAGGAGACTGGGTCACATAGGTCCTGTTAGGCTCCCTGGCTGGGGACCTCAGGATGGTTATTACCGATGGTTAGTGATTTAGCTGGGCGTCGTAAACAGGGGCAGTCGTGCATCTTCTCAGTTTCTCTGCATCATTAGTCCACTGAACTTTTCAATTTTTTCTTCGATACTACCGTCAACCATCTTGTTTTCCTTCACCCAAATGAGCAGCCAAAAGACAACAACCAAAAGTATCACACTGAACTGCATGCTTATGGTTGTTTGAAGTGAAACTGAAACATGCCGGTTTTCATTTTGATTACCCTTGACCTATTCCCACCCACTAGTTACCTCGGTAAACACCGTGCGCCGTGCCCTGGGCCAATACATGTCCCAATCAGTGTAATCTAATAAGGTCAACCACATGATCCAGTGGATGGTCGCATTTACCTAAAACTCTACGCCTAACCTCAGTATTGTTCGTCCGGTAGCAATCGAGAAGCCCGCAGCATGACTGAACAGTTCTACGGTTCTTCTATCACTGGGTGTTCCATGTCCGCGGATGTTGAATATAGCAGTCGTGGTTTCAACAGAACAGCTAACCTCAGGTCTGCTCAAAAGGTAGAGTTACGCTCAGTAATTCACACTTTCATGGATAACTGATCCTACAGAAATATTTAAGGAACCATAATCATTGAACTTACATAAAACTGACGGACCAGATGAGTTACAGCCTATTTTGTTAAGAAATGAAGTAGTACCCTATCACATATCCTGTTCAACATCTTGAATAGGTGTATTTCCCGATTCGCAATTCCGGATCGCAGGAGAACAGCCAGCAGTTTACCAGTTCTCAAGAAAAATCGTTAAATTTCGTCCGGTAGCATGTAGTTCTACCACTCTGAACATACTTGAGGAGATACTCGTTACGCAGTTTGTCTCCCCATTTGAACATAAACCATTGTAAGCAATTTGCCTGTTATCCTAATGTATTCACTCTAACTTCCTCAGTGAATTGTATTCTGTCATTGCTTAGATCAAATTATTTCTATTCTTGCAGATTATGGAGTTCGTTTACCTACCATAACCCTCCTCCTTCTCATTTCGAGAACAGTTTAAACTATCGAGGTAGTTTCCCCAACCTTAGCCTTCCAATTAGTGGTTTCTCAAGGTGCTATTTTGTCTCCTTCCACCTACACACTCAGCTATTATGCCTGTTCGCAATGACAATGCTGATCAAATACGCTGATGTTATTTTTGGCTCACCCTATTTCGGTAGCTCTACCCCGCATATAACCTTTCTATGAACCCATCTAAATGTTTTGACGTCATTTTCTCTCTACTGGGGTAAATCATACCCTGAATCATTCATAATTAACAACAAACTCCTTGCACATGCCTGCCCTTCCTCTACCTTCCCGTTCTCTTTTTACACGTATTGGGTTGGGCTGGACGAAACTTCGCCTCGATCGGACAATGACCTGAAGTGGGGGTTTGAAGAAATTAGCTTCAGTATTGGTTTCGATTGGTGCACCCTCCCCCTCCGAAGTTGGGGCCCAGGAAGTGGGTATCGGTGTTGGTTGGAAACACAGAGTTATGGCTCAAAATAGAAGTCATTGACGCAAATGCTGTACAACGTGCCCTTTAAGAACATCTGCCCTATAAAAAATGATCAGTTAACGCCAGAACTATGAAAATTGGTGGATAAAACAAGCAAAAACATAGTTGTTCTTGTTGTTTTGATCATCTGTAATTATTTGTTTTCCATGTCCTTTATTTCTGTGCCATAATCCCATCCTTCATTGCTTATCTACATTTCATCATGTCGATCACTTTTCACGTTTCCGTCTGTGCAGTCTGTTCGGCTCTCCGATGTGTCCAAAGTATAGCGACGTTCCCGTACTTGCCCCAATCGTAACGAAAGTCATGAATCAGCACCGTCTCACGGACCTCGTTTTCCGGCGGAACTCAATCCATGTGGTCTGCCAACAAGGCTTGATTCATGCCTGGTCGAGACCGGTGAGTGTCTTCGGTTTTCATACTTCTCACTGCTTTCACTCGATCGATACAGCCTGTCTGATTTTTTAAATCTGTCGTCTCAAATCATACCCGTTCATGTGCCGACCTTTGACTGGCAGTTGAAAAATAATCACATTTTCGTTGGTTTGCTGCATTGTCTTGATTACCCATACTTTACGAAGTTTATGACTTTTTGTGGTTCTCTGGAAGCAAATATATTTCGTGGGCACGTCATTGAGAATATTCGTACACGGCGATCAGAATGGTCATAACAACTTCGGTTTCCACAGAACCTGAAATAACATCCGTTTTTCAAGGAACTAATCAGACCGGAATTAAGTCGGCAAGCACGTTGCGACGGATACACGCTCTCACTTGGTTGGGTTGCATCCTAGTGACCACAACCAATGCCACTAAGTTGGCACGAAAAGAAAGCAAACAAAAAGGTGGCTGTTTCTGACCGATTTATTTGGATTCAGATGTTTCACATTTATTTGTGCTCTGGTTCTGATTGCTTCCTATGGTTGATCATTCGGAACACCATATCTTTGCCGGAATGAAAGCCAAATACCGGACTGTAAATCTGATCGCGCTGCTTGAGTTATACAAATAAGAAAATGCACCGACTCCATTGTATATGACGCTCAATCTGTCCGTCTTGCGTTTCTGGTGGTGAATCTGCCAGATCATGCAATCTCCAACTAGGAAGACTATCACATAAGTTCAAAGACTCCTCCGCAAGGGGTTTCACCCTAACACATTCGATACATGAGTGGGTTTCAGCTTTTATATATTCTACTATTCTCTTGATCGGTCAACTCAAAGAGATGGTCTAACTGCGTCGCAAAACGCTCTGGGTTGGGTGTAAACTTCTTTTCCGGATTGGTGTTTGCCCAATACTGATACGTGACGGGAGACGTGGTCACTACCTGCCGGAGTTGTTTGGAGGCCAGTATTCGGTGAAAGGTGCCTATGACGGTTCAGTCTTCAGGATTGAGGGCAGAGGGCAGGGTCCTCGTGTAAGCCTCATCACCACTGGGTCGAAGGTTCGATCACAAGTGTTCGTTCCTCCATAGCCCCTTCAGGTGCTCATCCAGACGCCGTTTGAAAGCAGCGTCTGTCTTCTCTTCCACCACAATCGCTGGAAGGGAATTCCAGAGTGTTATTGACCTACGCGAGAGTCGGTAGACTAGCGGAAGACCAACTGACTGAAGTTTCCACAACGTGAGAGTGCCCCNCTCAGGATCTTCCTCAGGCAGATGAGATCTCCTCTGAGGCATCGATACGCAATTGGGAACAAACCATTAGCCCGTAAACGACTTTCATAGCTGGTCCCGCGTAGTCCAACAATAAGTCTAGTAACAGCACGTTGTACACGCTCCAACTTATACAGTTCACCGGCCGTGCAGGGGTATGTCGCCGAACCACCATACTGAAGTCTTGGTCTGACACGGGAGGCGCACAGCAGCCTGAAAGCGTCCATCTTGAGCTGGTTGAAAGACCGCCGAATAGGCCCCAGAATGCT